AAAAAATTATAAATAATTTGGAAGTCGATGACTAGCGAACAATAGGGGTGACGTCATGACAGAGTGTGACACTGACAGCAACACTGAAATTCATTTTCATCCCCAAGTAGTTAACTACAGACGGTTTACAAAATTGATTTTTCGAAGACCACATTTTCTTTAAAGTAATTGCATTTAAGCAACAGTATTTGTAGGGGCCAGTACACTCTCACATCAAGGAAGTAAGCGTATCGAATGTGTGCACGTGGTCAATTAAGGAAAAGACGTGTAGGCTAGTAATCACACGATGTAAAAGCTGGTAGACAAAACCTGAAAATTTTTACGAAATTCTACCGTAGCGATTCAGACAAAAACTGCACGTTCTCCTGTAAAAAGCCGGAGACGATGTGCGACGACATGGGAAGAGTCGTGCACCACAGGAACATGGACATAGAGCTGAGTGTTTCACGAAGACGCGTCGCCAGTCGCACCAGGTTATCGCGATACTCGTTGCAACTGTTCGGACCGTACCTTTTGTATGAAACGTCGTGTAAATTAGAACGTTCGCCTTCAATGCATGCAACTAACCGTGACAAATCCCATAGGCAAGAATTCATGATGATCACGTCCGGACAATCTGTCTTAAAGCGTTGTAATATATCCTCCACCCGACCGCTATAGCACCTACAGGTATGGAGAGCATAATAACATGATAGTGACAGGTTGTCGACCAATTGTCCAAACGCTTACCTGGTCAGAAAGTAAAATTGAACCAAATGGTAGCAATCAGATGATCGGTATTCGCGCACTTCGAAGAAGTTTGTTCCGTTTGTCATTTCGGTACAATAAACTAACCTGTCGTTACAGAACGACCGTTCGCCCTAGAAGTTTCCGTGCGAAACTGTGTTGAAAAAACATTAAGATATGTCATACCTTAGCCTTCAACTCTTTCTTGCTATCAAGTAGAGAATCGCTTTGCAACCATCGGACAAGATCTTTATAAACCCCACGTTGCACTAAATACAGTTAAGCAAATAACGTCAATAATAAACTTAAAAGCTGATTGAAATCAATACAGAATAAAATCATCCATGAAACTGCGACTTACCCCCTGTAAGAATAACAATCTCTTTTAACTTATCAAAATTTAAAAATTTAGTACAACACGGGCTCATAAAAAATTCTTCAGTGTTCTTAAAGAAGACGCAAAGTTAAAAGCTAAAAGAATGTTTCAGGACAAAGAGCAGAATTAAGACAAGTTTGTTAACCTACTTGCTCAGAATCATATGGAACGAAGTCATAAGAAAATGGAAAAATTAGAAATAAATTCTTTTTTGGAAAATCAGAATTACCTACGATTCGCTATCTTGAACAGACGTGGCAAGAGCTTATCAAATAGCCAGAGATATAGTCAACTGGCAATGGAAACAAAGTAAAGTTTCTCAAGAACCTTGCTTATGACACTGATGGCAAACACAGTTAACGAATGTAATACCAGCAATAATCATTTTATATTGCTATTTCTATTGTTTAATATCTGAAAATAAATTATCCAGCAAAGATATCGAAATACAGGTAAAATTAGATCAGACGATAATGATTTCGTGCACCAAAAAATAAAAACACCTTTGGGTAACGTTGTGATGGAAGAGTAACGATCACAAGAGCCAGTTTTAAAATAAATCAGGATCAGGAGTAGAAATTGGCTCATCTCTCCAATAAAATAACGGCAATAGTGCAAAATAAAACCGTTACTTTGACGTTTTTATTACAAAAACAAAGTTAGATTTTGCAGTATATTTGAAGCCAAAACGTTTGAATAAATTAGAATTATTCAACACCAAAAGCCATTGCTTGGTTAAAGAGGTATAAAAAAATTACTCATACGCAAAAAAATGGACACAACAGTTGAATGACAGTTACATAATACAGAGAAGAACCAGAGTGCGTTTGAAACTCCATCTTCGAACCATGTGGTGTGTTGGCATAGCTATGTAAAAAATCTGCTGTGAACCCCGGAGGTGGCGGGTTCGATTCCGTCCAAGGGCAATTTTTTAATGAATTTCCTTGAGCAAAGAATTTACCATACATTGGATTAGATCGGGACTGCTCAGTCGGTAGAGCGTCTAACCCAAAGCCGATAGGTCCCAAATTTAAGTCCCAGTCGAGGTCACTCGCCCGTCTTCCATTCCAGGCTGCTAAATAAGTACCATTTCGTCGGAAGGAAACAGGAGACTACATACCACGACTGCCACATGGCTGTATACTCTGCCCTTAAAAAAAGGTACACCTGGATGATGGCATAAAATCGAATATCAACGCTGCGTTATCAGCGTCAGGAAAAGGTCTTACGGCCAAAATGGATCAATGATTAAAGTGAAGGAAGATCGACATTCCAAAGCGGATAAACTTCTTTTTTCCTTTTTCTTTGAACCATAAACTAAAGCCGAATAACGAATTCTCAAATGGAACGTCTAAAATCTGCAGCTTAATAAAAGACAAGGAACAACACTGGCTGTTTAGTATGATAGAAATCGTACTGACAATTTTTGTCGCTGGGTCTTACAACATCTACCCCTTGCCCCACCGTAACGTCGTCAAGTTTAGTGTAATTATCGTCCAAAATTACAGTGGCTAATCGCCAAGCTCACTCTAGCGCTGTTATTACATTGCTCTGATCTCTGATTTGTCAAATTTCGCAATTCGACGCCTATTGTAGCAGGTAACGGACTACCAAGAATTGCTAGTGCAACCTGTGCGCTCTCTGGGAGACACTTAGTGTGACTTTTACACAAAACATTGAACCGAATCACGCAGATATGCGCGAAAATTAAAGACAGCTCCAAGTTAAACGTAAACAAACAAACGTTAAACAAAAAAGCGTATTTAGGAAAACCAAGCGTAAAAAACTTGCCTGAATCACCCATCACGACGATATGCTTGTTGCGTAACAGCGAACGAATATTCGCGGAAGTGTACAGCATTGCGAGATCAAAAACGAATAAATGACAAACGTTAATAAAAATAAATCGAGTTATTAGCAGATTCAGTGAATAGCAAAGACAAATATCATTCTCCATCAAGAATGGCGATGCAAATGTGCCAGTTTTCAAATTTTCACATGATCTCTACCCATGGCACGAGTAGAACTGCATTGTTTCCACTCACAAACATCGTAAGTTTTCCGACCAATTGCAATAATAGCAATCATTATCCACGTAAAAACTGTTCCAGCGCTATTGTGGACATTCATATAAAGATGGTCAGTGAAATTTGTTAAGGTTTGTAGCGAAAGCGTGCCTTACATTGATCAGATGTCGCATTGAAGACCTTAGTGACCATCGCTCTCACTCCGTTATTAGTTGACCGATCAGGGTCATATAAAACTTCTTAGATGCACTGACGTTCGAACATCTTCTGACTTTAATATATAATAATCTGAACTTTGATGATCAAGTGCTTCAGAGGATCAGAAAAATTGCTCGACCAATAAGTCACATGATATCTGACCTTAGCCGACAGCTCGTGCGTTTTCAGAAAATGTCTTGCAATTGTAAACCCAAAGCATAATCTGTCAGTCAATTTCGATGACCGTTTATTCTTTCGGGTCGCGGAGGTAGATACGTCAGACGGTACTTCAAACGTTCTCGATGCTGCGCTGCCATATGAATTTCGGCAGAAGATAATCAAAGTCTGCAGCAGAGTCCTTCAATACACTGGCTCCAAGTTATTTTTGGATGCCCCCGCTAATATCTGCAGTTAACTCTGTGGTCAGCAGCTGTTGCGACATTTGGAGCCATAACGTACGCTTTCGGCTCATGACACAGGTTGTGTAATTTCTCGGAAATGGCCTTGTCAAGGATTGTCCACTCCATGCAAAGTTTGACCTTGCATCGAGACTGAAAACTTGATGTCTGCTTAATGCGCGTGTTCAGCTAGTTTCTTTGCTTGATAATGAAGGTGTAGTTTGACTATAAGGAAATGTCACTTTTCACTGCTGCCTGTTGGTTAGGGATAAGGATCTGTTTTTGTCATATGCTTAGTTATAGCATATCGCATGAGTTCGTCCGCGATAATCCATCTTTTCCAGCTGAAAAGATAGGTCTTCGTTGTTTGACTGACAGTCTTCCCTGCTCATCCTATATAATACTTCCCGCAGTAATTCGTACATCCAGCCTAGAGAGATGTTGTTCTGAGATTTGGCAATAACGCTTTAAGTTTATCAGAGGTTTTATTAGAGTTAGACATAAAGTTAATATTGTCATAGGAAATCAAGAAGATTTACTTCAGAAATAAATCTTGTCGACCTTGAAGAAGGTCGTAACGCATGACCTGAAACGTCAGTATTGGTTAATTACCGATTATTATTTATTTGCATTCTTTATGAATAAACCGCATTTTATACAGTAGTCAGTATGATCATCAACGCACAGACGAAATACTGAAAATAATAATTTCTGATAACATATATTTTGATATTAATGGAATTAAAATACTCTATCCATTTACCTGCGTCTTAAAAAGAACAATGATCGCAGCACAAAATATACTCGCATCCAACGTCGATGTATCAGTTTCTGAAACGAAATCGACTGTCAGAGACATTCAGAAGAATAATTAAAATTTGAGAACATTCCTGCTGATGACATTTATGTCTGACGTTGAGAGGTCAAGATAAAGCAGAAGACCGTCACAGGAAAGTTATCAGTTTGAGG